AGTGAAGGAGAGCACATCCGCCAGGAACCAAGGTTTAGAAACCGTGAAGCTTTATCCCTTCACATCGAAATGTTCACACAAAAAGGTAACTTCATCCTTCCTTTAGTTACTTTTTCGGTTTGAATTTCTTGTGGTGCCGCAACTCTGAATCAGCGTACGGCGAGTAAAAATGCCGTTCCTTTCCTCTAAAACAGAAGCCAAGAACAGATGACTGACCTCCACTCATCTCAATTATCGCTCTGAATAAGATGTCACATCCTAGTTAATTAGCACGTCGCCGTCGTGCTGAGTGCGCAGGCGTGCCATGACAGCTCTCATGCCGGGCGGGCAGGCGGTTCGAAACCGTTCTGTTAATCGAACAGTCCGATTCACTGTGACTGCTCTCAAGAATCCAAAGCGCCCCACGAAATTTCCTGTCGGGGATTTGAAACAGAAATATCACATTTCGCGCAACAAAATCACTTCTGATGTGTCATTGGGAAGTGGGCGAACGTGATATTTCTGAAACCCGCCTAGGGCGATAAGAATGGAGATTCATTATCGTACATCGCGTGTCACACCACAGGCAGCAAATGGTCCAGTTGCGGACATAAGAGTCACGCCGACGAAACTGCGGGTTTCATAACGACAGGGCTTTTAGCTGCTCAAGGAAGATAATGTTCGGCTTCAAACAGTGAAGATTCCTAATATATGAAGATTAAAACACGGCAAATTAAGATGGAGTTAAGAGCGGAAACCACGAAGGATATGGGAAAACTGCTTTCACGAAGGAGGTCCATGCGATCCGCATAAGTACAGCGGTCGAAATAATTTCCAGCAGGCTCACTCCACAAAGTAACGTTAACTCAAGGAAACAAATTAAAATGGTGGGGGGACAGGGCAGAGGGCGCACGATTTCCTACTTTGCCCTATTCACTGAGCGACCGAAGGATAGGGAGGGCGAGAGGTCAAGGCGTGGTGATACCCGTTATAGAAAGGTACTATCACTTACATCGCTCCGTGGAGATGATTAGCTTTACTACTCGTATATAAACAGGGCCCGAGAAGCTGGACACATTCGGCCGGCACCAGCAGGGATCCCTCGACATGGCCATCCAGGTAAGACTCTTTATTGTAACTGTCCGAGTCACAGTTTACAAATATAATTAAAACTTGCACATCTAAACACAGTTTGTGATATAAAAGATGGCATTTAAACTTGAAATGTCATAATCACCAACACTATACATTCGCAATTAAAAATTACGCATGAGCGCGTAAGAAATAATTTTTGTCTTCCAAGGATCTGGGCCTTGTATCAACGGCTCAGCCATCCTTGTTTCCGGGTGTTGGGGAACTCATCCTCCTTCCTTGGAACTCGGTCGAACACACCATGCACTGCCATCCTATGGAAAGGGGTTGTGGTGCTGACGGTTCAGAGGATACTGTTAACTGCTGTAGTTTATATAACGATAACAACAACTTTCAGAACACAGTTTCAGGTGATAAGAACGGTCACGATTCATCAGCACCAGTACGAGACTTGTTGCCAAAGTCACAAAACAAAATATCTCCACGCTTCAAGAGTCCCTCAATTAGGTCACACATTTAAAAATTATTCCAGTGATGTGTACTGAAATAAACTGCACAATAATTCTAATTCTTGGAATGGAGTATATGACCTCTACGCCTATGGATACGATAGAAAGGAGCCCATTTTGCTGTGCAGTTCGCTTTAGACGAAACTGAAGTTGTTTCTTAGCATTCAGAGTAGGCACCTCACAGTCGCGATTAGTGTTTACGCAATCATCATACGAGTTTAATAATGTTACTGGAGGACTAACTGACACGTTTTCCCACTCCAGCTGCTTGTACTCGCCACTGCGATCACTGCCACAAGAGCCGGCCTGCTCGGCGCACCAGCCGTTTCCACATACGCCGCCTATGCCACCCCAGCACACAAGGTCGCTGCCCCCTTCGCCAAGGCTGCAGCGCCCATTTTATATCCAGCGGCACCGGCCCAGTACAGCTACGCTTACGATATCCAGGACGCTGTCACCGGAGACTCGAAGAGCCAGCATGAGAGCCGCAGCGGAGACGTCGTCCAGGGCAGCTACAGCCTGCTGGACCCGGACGGAACCCGACGCACTGTGGACTACACCGCTGACCCCGTCAACGGTTTTAATGCCGTTGTGCACAGGGAGCCCGTCGTTTATGCCGCCCCCACCGTGGCTAAGGCAGTAGCTCCCGTGGCATATGCCGCCCCCACAGCATACGAGGCTCATAATGCACCTGTCGCTTATGCCGCCCCCACTGTAGCTAAGGCAGTCGGTCCAGTTGCATATGCCGCCCCCACAGCATACGCGGCTCATAATGCACCTGTTGCTTATGCCGCCCCCACTGTAGCTAAGGCAGTCGGTCCAGTTGCATATGCCGCCCCCACAGCATACGCGGCTCATAATGCACCTGTTGCTTATGCCGCCCCCACTGTAGCTAAGGCAGTAGCTCCCGTAGCATATGCCGCCCCCACAGCATACGCGGCTCATAATGCACCTGTCGCTTATGCCGCCCCCACTGTAGCTAAGGCAGTCGGTCCAGTTGCATATGCCGAACCCATAGCTTATAGCAACCCTGTCGCGGCTCCCTTTGCTTACGCCGCCCCCGGATACGGGCATCTGCCATAGCCTATAAGCATTACTGACCTGCCTGACCACACAATCTCTTGCTTCATGTACCACACTTATTTTATTCCTACCAAGCATTTTACAAATAAAACATTTAAACAGTCACGTTTCGTCCATTAACATTTACCACCTACTTGCTTGCTTCTGATAATATTGGCTCTGGCGAAATTGAGGTCACTTCTAATTATCGATTTCATGTCTTTTAAAATGCATTACAACTGTGCTCTGCGCCGACTGAGAAACTTCAATGCAAGTGACCCATATCAGCGTCAATGGGGGTGTTCGAGAAAAAGATGCTGAAAAGAATATTTGATTCTAACGAAAGGAGGTAACAAGAGGACGAGAAAACTGCACAATGAGGAGTTTCGTAATTTCAACTCATTGCATGTTATTAGGGCGATAAGATCAAGGACGATGACCTGGGCGGCACATGGAGATCACAAATGCATAAGGATTTCCCCTGAAACCTGAAACGTACATACCACTTCGGATACTTTCTTCGATGTCAGAATGCGGATATTAGGGAAATCGGATACAAAGACGTGGACTAAAATTACGTCAGGAAAGGGGTTGAACAACGGCTCCTGTAATCACGGTAATTAAACTTCGGGTTCAGTAACAGGAGGCATGTTTCTCAACTAGATATGACACTATAACAATCTAAACTTTGTTACTCAGTTTGTGGTGTCGATCTTGCACACAATTACGTCAGCCGGGTTACCTCAGCCAGTGTTGGTAGTGAGTGGCACATGGGCTGGAAAAATTGGGTTATAATCCAGGCTGATGCAGAAACTTTTCCGTCTTCCAACGCGTCCAGACCGACTCTAGGGCTTACCCAGCCTCTATAATTGGTACCGGAAACTTCAGCCCCGGGGATAAATCTGCCGGGGAGCGCTGGAGTGTTCAACACGCGCAACGACGTCGAAGCTAAAACGATCATGAAAATGCAGCTTTGTGTTTCGGCCTCATTTATCTCCTCCACATTACTAGAAGCTGGAAGCACTCCATTGACGTGAATATCAGGAGAATCTATCCGTATATCCAACAACTGGCAATAAATCACAACGGCGGAAGCAGGTATCGAATACACAGCCAAGAGGCCTAACTGGTAATTGGGTCAAGATTACAGGAGATTACTGCTGAGTGCAATAGCAGGAAACGGCAAACGAGCATGTGCCGCATTCATCTGCTTTCATTATAGAACTGAGGCGAAATGCCAAGGCTGCCAATTATAGTTAAATTCAAGAGTATGAAACACGGAACACAATCCTTCGTATTCCGGAAGTCCTGGGTTCAAAAATCGGACGGGAAACTCCTGACTAAAATATTTCGCCGAAAGAGATAATCAAAACCACTCTGGATTTACCAACAACGAAGAAGAAAAATACTGTCAGACCTAGAAAACCTTGAATTAACGCTTAGGACCAATCCTTGTGTACACAGTAAATGACCGACAAATGCCTTTGGAATGGAATAAAAATGCATATATTTTTCAATGAATTGGTTTGTAACTTGCATAGTTCCCTGGCCTTTATATACACTTATTACAGATATAATGAAAAAGTTCTACTTGAAGCTTATTCACAGATTGGGATGATAACAGGATTTTGTTAAGTCGCTACTAGTTGGCCTATTCACATTTCAATTGTAGTACTGGGGCCTTGCTTGTAGTACACCCCAGTCGATAATACATTCGACCTAAGTTTAAAAGAGCACTCACTTCCCGTCGAGAGGGCTTTTCTAGTGCAGTGCATAGTTATAGTATCATCTTGTTTCCTAGGTAATTGATAGAAACTATTGTTAAGACTAAAGAAACCCAAATTACGAACTAACCCGGGGCGTCCCAGGTTACTCAATAAGTCACTTGTGGTCACTGACCAGCATAACTAACGGTGGGCAAAACAAGATCAGAAACAGGTACCAGCTTCGCGCTATCAAGGCCGAGGGGTACGCCATCCCCCACTAATTTAGGAATTCCTGCAGCTCGCGCTCAATATTGCATCACTGTTGGCTATATAACACAAGGCGCAGCTGACGACCAGCACAGGACATTAGCCACTCCACACCATGGCTTGCAAGGTACAGTACAGTGCACCAGGTCTATAGGTAACGCTTAGTCTACCGGCTGAAATCTGACGGGTAAATCAAAAGTGTCTGAAATTGCTGATGCAAATTGAACACATTAAAGGCGAAGGGTGTCAAAATTATATTTTTAAAATTCGGTTCCAAACTTGGAGGAAACATATGACAATACTTTCACAGATATTAATTAGTCCTAGAGTTTTGCTGCATAACCTGAGAAGTAAATTAAAATAAAAGAATTAAAATAAAATAAACGTCAAACAAAGGTGGCGGGCTTCGAAACAGTTATTTTGAACCAAAGACATCAACAATTTTTTTCTGTTAGATAAAAGTATATCCCGAACGGGACATAACGTTGGACTAGTATGTCAATTTCAAGTTCAAAGTACATAGGTGATTACAGTAACACGATTGTGGAAGGAAACAGGTGTAATACAGCAGCAGTTACATGGGTCGAGAAAATACTGGGGAAACACAGTGGGGCACAAAGCAGGCGGGAATACGATCATGTGGAGAACCAGTCTTACACGAACATTCGAGTTTTCGTATCGGCACGGATGGCGACACAAGCGAGGCGACGAACATTCTATGATAGAATTCAGTATCCCTGAACAGTACACTAAATAAGGTTCTGAACAAGCTTTCCAATTTTTAGTTCAATATAACATTCTTGACCTCATCGATCAACGGGGATTTGATGAATGAAGCAGTTTCTCGTTAATATACTGAAGCGTACAACCGAAATACATTTAACACTTCATACAATGTATTACTGAGACGAATAGCATTATAAATTGCTCAGAAGAAGCAAAAATTTCAAGATTCTGACATAAAATAAAATCCAAAAACTAAAGTATCGATAATGCATCAGATCTTTCCTAAATCCAATATTTGGCCAATTATGTGAGGGAAAGTTTAATTTTGAAACAAAATAGAAACAATCATACTTCTAAGATCAAATAATAGGAACTTCTTTGATAATTTAAATACATTTATAAATGAAAGTGGTAGGAAACAAACGCCCTGAATATACGTACATAATACCGACTGAAAATTATATATGAAAAATTAGTGCGTCTGTGTGCAGTCACAATCTCTTTCAACTTTCAGCTTTCAATCTTCGCCGCCCTGGTGGCCGTCGCCCGCGCTGGTATCATCGGCGCCCCTGGAGTCGTGTCCCCTGGCGCGCCTTTGTCTTATGGCGCCCCTCTGTCTTACGGCGCCCCTCTGTCTTATGGCGCCCCTCTGTCTTATGGCGCCCCTCTGGCATATGGCGCCCCCACACTCGCTCACGCTCCCGTTGCATATGCCGCCCCAGCCGTAGCTAAGGTCGCAGCACCGCTCGCCTATGCTGCCCCAGCCGTTGCTAAGGTAGCTGCCATAGACACCGACTACGACCCCAACCCCCAGTACAGCTTCGCTTACGACATCCAGGACGCTCTGACCGGAGACTCCAAAGGACAACATGAGACTCGAAGCGGAGACGTCGTCCAGGGAAGCTATAACCTGGTGGAACCCGACGGCACCCGTCGTATTGTCGAGTACACCGCTGATCCCTTGAACGGATTCAATGCCGTAGTACACCGTGAACCTGCTGTTGTCGCCGCCCACGTCGCTAAAGTGGCTGCTCCTGTCGCTTATGCCGCCCCCACTGCACACCTAGCTTATGGTGCTCCTGGTGTTGCCAAGATTGCTGCCCCGCTGGGATATGCCGCCCCAACCGCTTATGGCTCCCCTCTGGGATACGCCGCCCCAACCGCTTATGCCTCCCCTCTGCACACGAAGGCCATTATCGGGTAATTACACATCATCGCTCACAGGTGCATCTCAGTAAATTTTCATCCCACTATTCATTTGACTCAAGCCAAATGCATTTATATGTCAGATAAATAAGTGAATAAACACTGTAAAAAAGCTACTTGTTTTACTGAATTACACCTTTCCTATATTAAGATCCTAAACCGAGAAAATCTTTATTTGTGTACTAGAGTATTTGTAAAAATGGGGACATTTGCATTCCTGGAATGTACGTCATTATCTCAATAAGATCCTGGGCACAAAAAACACCTTCAGTCCTCAGAGGAAGCAAACGTCATTGAACAATTCCACAAGAATTCGTGATACAAAGAAAGTGGGGTGTAAAATTAAGTTATATGGTGACCTTACAATGATCAGCACTCAGAGGGGAAGACAAAACAAATTTATATCAATAAACGAGCCACAATCACAGACAATTACAACTGTAAATGCTACTTGTCACGTCTGTCTCTATCCACCGAGCACACTTCTGTGTACGCAGTATAAGGCTCTACCCTTTCTTCTACTGAACTGCACCACCTTGTTCGGACTAGTTCGTGGTGTGGTTTGCGTGACCAGTTACTGTTTCATATATGTTGCATCACACGCGGGCACAGCACAAACGCTCAGTAACAAAAACAAAAAATAATATACGTATATCACCAAACCCTGAACTGTGCATGCTGCAAACATGTCAAGAGATGAGTACGTTATAAATCCACTGCCAATTCGTCGGTAACATTTTCTTTATCGACAAATCTTTGACATCCTATCAATAGCATACTGCAGCACAAAAGGAGATATGCCACCAAAGTGGCACCTTTCTAGTCTGGACGCTAAAATGCCACTCAGTCATGGAATTTGCTACTGTTGTCACATTGTGGACTGCGACCATAAACTTGGAACTGTCGCAACATTCAGAATATATAAACCACTACATGTTACGTAACCCAATTCATCAGTTCCTGATAAGGTCGACAAAGACAACCTCCGAAACAATCGAAAGAATTGCTCGTCTCATACCCGAATCAAAGTTCCCAACTGACCAGTGGGTTCGTGTCTTTACGTGCATTAAAGTCATGCCATAAATGTATTTTTTTCCAACACACACACATTCATTCGAGAATGTAACAGTTTTGTTTCTGTACAAAGTCTGAATGTGCAGCAAATTCTTGTTTTTCACCTTCGAACTCAAATTGTTCGCAGTACACATTCATCTATCTTATACTATTGCGCGTCCAAAATGTTCGGAACCATATATGTACGCGTGATGACTACATCCATCTGTTCCGTTATGTGAGAATATTGTATTAATTACGCAGGCGTATATATAAAGTTTGAGCTCATAAATCATAATATGCATACGCGGAGAGGACAGGCAGCTTTTAACGTTTCACAGTCATCTGAACACAGCTTAATAAACAGGCATAAAAAAGATTACCATCACGTATTAAAAATACATCAGGACACTGAAGAGGCAGCTTCAAGTAGTGAGGGAGAAGGTGATTATTCCACAGACTCAATATACACACCACCTGAATTAATTCTTCGAGCTAATGACACATATGGTCGATGACTGAGAAAACTATCGGCCATACTTTGAAATTGGGAACAAGCAGACCTAGTTGCCATATTGATGTCCCTAGTTTTATTCAAACCACATCACAATAAAATATCTCGTTTAATAATATAATCTCAAGTGCGTTACAAGATTTCAGGCTGTCTTCTGGGCTGTGACACCGGTGTAGTCTTGTAGCAGGTTGCCAATATTTCGGAGGAACACGCGAGCGACACTTATACACAGTACAGGCTAAATGATTTTTTCGAAACACTGGTATCCACCTGCCCAAATACACGGCGTCATAACCCAGAAATTCACCATCTTCACCAAGTAGGTCCCTTACCATCAGCAGTTTCAAATCTGAACACTATACTGAATTATGAAAGCGTCCCCCTATATCAAAACCGAGAAAGAAAAATCCAGCTATCGACTTGAACGACGCCACAGATTGTAAATGTTAAACCCGCAGGAACTAAAATAAACTAAATTAATAGGCAGCACTGTGTTGAGTAAAGAATAAAAAACGCTGCTACGATGAAGAATGGGGTGGGTTGCACATGGTCCCATAAAACAATATACAAATTCTTAATAAATGACTACCGAGTTCAGCGTTGACACAGTCTGAAAGAGCTGCATCCTACACTACAAATTTCTTAAAATCTGTGCTGTATTGGCCCCAATACACCTACTTAGTCCATGAAAGTCATGGCACGTAAAGAATGGACAAATCGTTGCACTTGAAGCTACCTCTCACAGGAAGAAAAGAAAACAAAGTACTCACCCAGCGGCATCTCCGGCAGATTTTCAGAGTTAGTACTCACCTGCAACACAATCAGAGCATAGTATATTAATAATCATTTAAAATGCAGTGGTAGATGTATGAATGGTAAATCTATATCTCTGAGGCAAACTGTCCTAATTTAAATTCATGAAGAAGACTGTCTCAAATGCCATCTCAGTCCATCTCTGCACTGGAAACTAGGTAGTGGATTAGAAAAGTGTGTATTCCAGTCTCATTTCAGGGCAGTATCTCCGCGTTCACCAGGAAGAAGTCACAGAAACTTCGAACACCTGTCATGACAGCAAAAATTCCTACGAAATTTAGAAACGGGTACTTCCAAAATACAAAATCAGATACACCGATGTGTCACTCTGTACGGTGAACGGAGAATGTGAAACTGCGCTCGTAGCCTTTTCAAGGTATCATTTCACCCGAAGAGTCTCAGGGAACTCTTCATTCCGAACTGTTTTTAGAAGGTGGACTGCACTTTTAATCGCAGGCGGGTTTATTGGTATCAACATATAATGGGCTGCAGCTTCCCTCAGACCGCCAGGAGAACGCGAGGAAACTAATCAATCCCAATTCCTCCCTCAAAATCACAAAGTTTGCAACTGCTGCTTCGCTGCACGAAGCGTCCTTGTGCAGCGGCTATCTCTCCTTCACATTCGTGATCTACCCATTTCGAAACTCTTCGCTAACACCAGCCATATTAATGAGTAAAAACTGTAGTGTTTTTCTAGTCTCCGGGAAATCGGTCACAAATGATTCCATCAACATTCATCCCATCATCCACCATTCAGACACAAGAAACATGTGAAGTTGATACAGCGTCACTGAAGTGACCGTTTCACCATGAACGGGTTTGTTTAACTCAGCGATATAGTTCAGTTGATAGCGCAGAACCTGTCCAATTGCTTCATAGACCGGGCGACCAGCCTACACTAGCCAGGTGGGGTCCATTTTGAGACACCCAGCGTTTTCTCCCCAGGGTGAAAGGTGTCTCACAATAGACCCACGTGGTTACGCCACATAACTGACACTTCTGTCACATATATATATAACCCACTGTTTTATACCTTCATCACTGGAACAGAGACTACTGGATCACAATGGCGTTCAAGGTACGTGCTGTGCTGTGCTGTGCTGTGCTGTGCTGTGGATGGGAAGTACAGGGAAAATATAGAATATTGCATAAGTATTTGAGAAAACTAGATAGATTTTGCTTGACAGGTTCGTTTCGTTTTTTTCAAAATATTACTTTTGAGCTGCCTTGGCTCAGTCAGCCCACAAGCCATCAACAGATGAGCTGTCACTGAACATTACGCCACCCGATAATAAAATGTAAAACTGTGAAACGTCTCGTGATTAGCTTGTTTTCTATGCTGCATTTCTGACAAAAATAACGTACTCTGGAAATTTCTGTGGCACCTATACATTATTCAATTCATAGGAGCATATAAATTGTAAGCAATAATAATATTAAAAGTACATTAAATCCGGGAAATGCTTCATATAATTTTGAGCAAAGCATTTTTTCTTAGAGTCTCCTTTTTTAAAATCCTATATTAAAATACAGAAAATTACAATCTTGCGTGTTTAATACGGGAATGAAATCTGATCTCTCACGCTATGGAAATAATATAACAAAGAGAGTGTCTGACAATGAAGTGCTGACGAGATAATTAAAAGACACAGGAGAACTTAGAGAATTACATAAAGAGGGGCTTTATATTTTGTGCTAATAGACAGAATAGCTATTGCGCGGATTGATTGACATTGTACAACCTGAAAAAAATTGAATGTTTTATATCACACTGCCTTTCGGAAGCATTCAATATATCAACTCACGCACATAAATACCACTAAGGGCTAAAATTCATAGCATTCGTTCCTGATGGCCTCTCTACATACATGGACGAGTCGCCTTGTCTCCACCGGCTTTATACGCATGTAGGTGCACTTCACTTGTGCGGAGAAGAAAGCTGGTCGTTGAATAAACATAAGCATGTAGCATAGTAACAATCGGAAATAAGAC